AATCTCGATACTCATTTTGTTTACTATATACTTCCTTGTCAAAAAAACTATTTCGTATTTCCATTTTAATTGCAATGTTCCTTATATTAATTTCCATACAAAAGTGTCGGATTAAAATTGCTCCCGTGTCTCGGAGTCATCAGCGATTTCGCACGCAAAGCAATGACGTGTATATACATACACGTATGTATGCAGGGACGAATTTTTACGCACATGTGTCGCGTGCATAATCGAACAAAATTCCTCGTCGCGGGCGAAAATCGACCGAGTTACATCAGTTTTGACGGCATGGCGCATCAAACGCTCGTTTCGTCGCCAACGACGATAATTGCCGGCGAAACGGGATCGTGTAAAGTTCAGAATACAAGAATATACAACAGAGCACCTGTCGAATCGCATTATCGGTCACGCGACCAACGCTGTCGCGTTTCGATGTGACCCGACCATCTGTTCGCCTATCGGATGGCGCTGTCGGTGTACATCAGCGTGTAACTTACGAAACGGTAACCAGACTGTTCGCGAAAATGCTGTTTTTTTATCCTGCACCGTGGTTGCTTGCTCCCAGACTTTACGAAAAACTCCCCGAAGAAAAGAAAATTTAAGTACGGTGAGATTTATGAACGACGATTCTCGTGACGTTTATTTCAATTAATTTGAACTTTTGGAAGGATTAGTAAATTTTATCGACTGAGGGATATGCTTCTAATGGTGGTCAAAACAAATACGATATTTTCAACGTTTAGTCATCAGTTTACAATCCCTAATATAATCTCGTTATGGCATAACGTTTCGACCACACTGTGGGATAATGTTCAGTATCGTGAACGAAAGGAAAGTATAAATTACATTATCAAAAATTATAAAAGGACCCGCCATGTCCAAAACGTTGAATGAAGAAATATTGCACAGCTGAACCCAAAATTCACATAGTAAATCAAATTTGTTCTCTGCGGCAAAAAAAAAAAAGAATAATATTTCTCTCTCCGTCCACGAAATAATCCAATGATGAAAACAGGAGTTTCATTTAGAATACTCTACTTCCATTGATTTATTCCACTATTTTAACGAATAAAATCGAGGCAATGGGGCAGCGAACGAATGCAATTAGACAAATTGTAATCAACGACGATGGGCATGGATTCGAGCGGTCTCGAAACAAGTCGACGTCGTCTGACGAAGCTCTAGCGAGATGTATTTCGTGGTCGATAATAAAAACAGTCGATCGTACGGGTAATTAACGAGAAAGAGGAGAAAGCGACTAAAGTGCCAGGCGGTTTTCCACTGGAAACCCTTCGAGACGTTCAATTAGGCACAGCGCCAAACTAAACCCGACCCAACAATGTTGCGCAGGTCAAATGTCGAGTGCCAAGCGACAAACCGAGATTTCCTCGCCATAAATTTCCCTCGCAGGCTCGACGATCAGATACGGAGCCGGTAATTAAACGAACGATAATTGAAACGCATTACGTAAATCCTCGATACAATCTGACGATACAGAGGACGCGATCGAAAGAGTCCCGGGTTCCTTGCCAACGTTCCAGAGTGTCTTTGCTATTAGCTTTCCAATCTCTACGTTCGAATGCACTAATCTTAATATCGCTTGCAATTTAATTAGCAACGTTTCGACTATGGTTCTCGAGTTATCTTCAAAGTCTTCAAAATAGAATAGACTGTTATTAATTGTAAAATAGAATTAGTAGTATAAATAAGATATTATTTGTAATAATTTTTAGTTTAGTTGCGTTATTACATTTTTTTTTGTAATTAATGTTAATTTATTTTAATTTCTGTAGCCTTAGAAGATGACTCGATACGCGTAGGCGAAATATCGTTAATTAAATTTCTTGTGATGCTGACTGAAGTCTTATTATTTCAAAGAGCGATACTAAATTGTAAACATTTGAGGTGCTGTTCATATTTCCAAGAAGTAAGTTACTCCAAAATGTAACGGGACAAAAATTATTCAATGAAAAAATACCCCCTAAACGAAGGAAAAGTAAAAAAAAGATAACATTTCATAATCTACACATGACTCAAAAAATTGAGTAAGATAAAGATGTCGTATAGTCTTACTTAACTAAGCTCGCATCATAAACTATACAAAGTGTCTTCAAAGCGCTTAAGAACGCAAGCATCGACAGTATCGGAAAATTGCGGCGTAAAAAGTTATCACCAAAGTAGGTTAAATTATATTTAGATCTAATAAAACGAGTTACGTTCTAGTTGATTACATAATCTACTTTAATGCGGTTTATTTGTACTTGCATTATCGATATCTTCGCGATATTAGTGATAAACGAGTTATCGATATCTTATCAATAATCATTTGCGGCATCTTTACATAGGCATTAATACGGAACAATTTTTCGCGAGCATTCCGAGAATCTATAATTTTGTATATTTATTCGAAAACAATTAAATCTAGAGAACCGTTGAAATTATTTTTCGAAATAAATAAATGTCATTGCGGGTTAATGACACGTTCGTGCTATCAATGTTTATAAACAGAGGTAGCCTTCTAAAAATAGTTCTCGTATGCTAATTCGGAGCAGCTAGAGTGATTCATGTAATAATTGGCGCTGGCGACTGTTTGCTAGAAGGTAAACAAGATGTCCAACAAAATATAAAGTTATATGGTACGTGGGATATAGAATACTTGCTTCGAAATCAAATAAAGTGATGCTACCAACTATTAGACTAATCATTTGACTAATAGCTAATCGTTTAGTTAATCGCAATCTCATACAAGCAGTCTTATTTAGTCACTTTCAAGAATGAAAAGATCACGAAGTAAACGAGAAAAATCAAACCAGAGAATTAATAAAGATCGTGTACATAAAAGAACAATTAGATGAAACAGAAAACCAAATGATGATTTTCCTTTACTTTCTTTGTAGATAAATAACACGTGTTTTGAAATGCCCAGTACATTCTTTATCGTTTTCGCTAGGCCGAGATTACTTTCGCGTAGCACTCGAAAATAATGAAATCGCTTACGTACGCGAGATACTTTCGTGCGTGAAGGTTTAATTAAAGAGAAGACAAAATGGTAATTTCACGGGAGTCCTCGAGATCGCGATAATAAACCGTTAGCGCGATGGTACGCGGGCGCACGGTGCAACCAGTGACGTCACATCGTGCCATTTTAACGAAGCGTGGAAACTGTTGTACTCCGGCTGAGATATTGAATGGGGAACAAGCACCGACCCTCCTACCTTCCCCGACCACTGGAAGGTCATTGCACACTCGTAAACAAACAGGACGCGCCGTCTATAGCACGCTCGGCCGCGTCACTGAACGTACACACCGATCTAATACCTTGGTTCAAGGTCGTCCCGTCGTAATAGCCCCTATACACATCGATAACCGATTTAAATGGACAGCGAACGAAAAATCCTCGTAAAAATCACGGTCCACAACGATCGATTACAGAGATTCATTAAACACCTTCCACAAAGTTCTTGTGATTTTACATATTAATTATTATATATTTAGGTGGTTTAGGTAGATCGTTATTTAAATGGATAATGCACCGACTGAAGCTAGTTTTGTATTAGAGACACGATTATGATACTCAAATTCTTGTTTATAATTTTTAGAGTAGACACATGCCTGTAATGTCTGAGAATTGTTTCATAGCGAAAATATGTAAAAGTTTTTGGAGTATTTTAGAATGAAAATAAATTATTGAAATAGTAGCACATTATGGATCATTAGGAAGTTCTTTGCAATATTCGAACATGAACTATCTATCCTGAAGAAAGGGATAGCACTAACTGCATCCTAATTTCAAATTAGTTTCAGGAGCAATCATCCATAAACATTTCAATACTTAAACTTGAAAATGATCCAAATTCGAAACACGTTTCATTTATTATTCCTCATAAATGATTCTTTCCTTCGCGGATAACTTTGTACTGAACCTTTACCCGGCATGAATTACGTAGACCGCTAGAGATACAAATATGGCGGTCGAGGTTACGGAGGAGCGCCTATTCGCGTTTGAAATTCACGGTCGTCGTTCGAACTTCTCCGGTAAGCGCGCTGTAACACGGATGGTTCTCTCTTCTGACTTGACATTCCATCGTATTCCTAACGAACCAAGAGAAATACTGGCAAAGTTGTCGCACTACTTTCCCGCTATTAGTTTTAGAACGCATCAAAATGTCCCACTTCTAATTGCCCAGATTTCTAACGAACGATGTTAACATCTCAGGAAAAAAAGACGACGCTCTACTTTTTGATTTTTTAATTTCTGATCACATAGGGTGTACTTTTGAAAATTAAGAAACGACTGAAATACTTATAGATAGTATAAGTTAAAGATATAATGTTTACTAATTCATTCATCCTTTCCTGTCTCACCTTCGCGTATAAAGAAATATTCATAAATTATTAGCCAATGCCATTCCAAGCATTCCATTAATATTTATTACATATATATATACATCTTTACCATGAGATTTCCTGATCCTTTTCAATAATACAAAAAAATTCATGTGCTATAAAAAAAAAAAAAAAAAAATGAAATGTATTCAGAGAAATTTTACGTCCACATTACGAAACTTTTACATTTTATTTCGTCGTCCTGACACTTCACTGAAGAGTGCCTCAACAACATCAAGGTCGAAAGCGTCTGTAATAAGTATGAATGGAATGCTTGGAACTACGATACTGACTGATAATTTTACTCGAAATGACAACTCTTTGTATCGAACAAATTGTAGTTATATTTTACATTGACATTATATTAAATTTCATCCATTACTCGAACAAAATATTTTCCACCTCCGATACGTAAACACGTCAGCGACTCGAAAATTTCGCAACCGGTCGGATTTTCGGAGTCGGGGCGTCAAAACATCGCGAAACGCAAACACGAAGACCAAATGTTGTCCAGTAGCGATATCTCTTCAGCGTTGTATACAATGACAGCGCGTGAAAGTAAAAACCGCGGGCAGGTCGCGAAGCCCGGTAGAAAGTAAATGCGACGTTCTTACCTGTTGCCAATGATCCTCGAGCGACGGCTGGGCCGAAAAGTATCCGGTGTCGTGTATGTCTTGCAACTCCCTAAATATGTTCCCACTCGGCAGGATATCCATGTTTACGGCGGTGATCCGTTCGTAACTGAGTGAACTCGACACAAGTAAACAGAAGCCAGAAAAAAAAAAAACAAACGTAAACGACGTCGAACCAAACGAACCCAAACTCAAATAAAAACTGTACCGCGGTTGGTACTCGTATACTCAAAGACTTAGATGGTAAAACGGCCAAGAGACGCGTTCACTAACTGCACGGTGATACGCGGCTCGCGACTCTAACGCACGCACGTACACGCAGCAGGTAGTGGCACGCACACGTGCTTATCATCGAAGATGCACCGACGGTCACGACGTCACCGTGGGCCAGGATGACCAGTCGGAGTCACCCGGTAGCGCGAGCGAGAGGGTACTACTCACGGGTAACTCTGTACGAAGTGAACGCAAGAGAGGGACCACCACGGCTAACCGCTTCCTTTTTCCCCGCGCGCGCACACAAACACCACCGAAGCACTCGCTCCGAAACCGTGAGAGCAATCTCTCTCTCTCTCTCTCTCTCTTTTTCTCTCGAACTATCTCTCTCTTTCCCGCTCCGTAGCACCGACTACCGGCGCTTATACTGTTGCTGGTGCCACCCCGGCGCTAGTACAATCGTTGGATAAAAAGCACGCGGCCACTGCACCGAAAGACACGCCACGACCGTAGAGAGAAGGAGGGTAAAAAACTCACTGGAACGCCGTTGTTAGTTGCCCGGCACGACGCTCTGTCTGTTCTTGATAGCGTCGCGTACACGAGACACGCGCGACAGCATCCATCATACGTGGAACGATCGTGGAATCCTTCGTAATATACCCCACCGGAACAACGAAACGTCAAAACGCCGGCACGAGTCGCGACCCGTTATCTGTTCGATTCATTCGGCTTACCGCATTCCAACTCACTCTCTCTCTCTCTCTCTATCTCGCTCTTTCTCTCGTCTACTCCACTTGCTCCGATTTAAATCGCCGAACTACCAGAGCTGCTCCGATTTAACTTGTTTACTGGAGAAACTCTCGTATCGATGGTGTAGCGATCCGCCGAATACTCAAATCCGCCCACGCGTCCGTTTCGCTCACGATAACTCGTGTATGTACATTCACTGGCGAGAACACACGCGGCTCCAACCCTCACCTAACCGGCTTTTTTCCCGCGACACTTCCATAAGCGGTGTCGCGTCACCCTGTGAATCGTGCTGGTCACCACGATCGGAGCCGAATACACGTCGTCGCTGAGGTTGAACGGCGAAGAAACACCTACGAGATATTTAAACACACCGCAGGGAGCAACGATATCCCCGTCCGTAAATGCGTACAGACTCTTCCGCGCGAGCGCCGAAGAGTGACTGACGTTCCCTAGCCATAACTGTACGCGAGAGAGGCCGAGTTCCACCGATGAACACCGAGCCCGCGTTCGCTACCGGCGACGCGAAATCGCGCCCGGCGGCCGCTTCGCGTCGTGGCAGCACCGATCGGTGGCGTCGCGACGCCGTTTCCCTACAATTCTTCTATCCCGTCCGCGGAACGATCTTAGGATCGCTTACTGCACTTCTCTACTGATATTTTTCGCCAAAATGGGAAGAACTATGCGAGGAAACGTGTACTTCCGGTTAGAATCCTCCTGGATTATACTAGATTTTGGAGGAGATCAACACAAGCTTGGGATTTAAACAAAATAGTGTACTGGATGTTAAATGGCATATGTGTCGAAGAGACCTGGTTGAAATTTGGAGTAAAAGTATTTCAAGTACTATTTTATGTATTTTCATTCTGGAGTACTTTCTATTATGTACTCTCATATGGTAAACTATTCATTATTTATACGTTCTAATGTGTTTCTAATAAGAGAAAAGTCTCCGGCCTAACCCTCTATATCGATATTACTAAACTACTCCAAAACTTGCTCTAAAGTCACATTATACGTATCGTTATTTCTAAGAAATCCTAAGCTTATAAATCTCATAGACACCTTGTAGACACGTGTAAACTAATTATATAATCATGAAACTGCATAAATACTTCTAAGAATAAACCAGTAGTTCGTAAGAACGGGGTTAAGAATCGCAGTTAATGCATACGAACGATCCTCAACATTGATCCGTCATGGATCCATAAAATGACGCTAGCGTATGCACTTTGCACTCATCTGTTCTCCAAAAGCGCACAAAGTTCCACTCGCGTGCATTCGCGAAACGATCTATGCCGGTATCGCATCGTGAACCTGCCTCGTTTGCCATAACTTCTCGCGCCCGCCATGTTTCATTCTGCTCTTACGCGGGACGCCGAACAAAGAATAATTCGCAAATGAATAATCGGTGTCGTGAGTCAACGCGCGTGCCGACCACGAGCGAAGGGAGCAAGGAGATGAACGCCTTGTGTCGCCGGTAACGTGATTCATAGATTCTGTGCGTTCGTTAAATGCTGTTCTGCAGACGCTGGTACGACGCTCGGGAATGCCAGATTAGATACGTAAGCGGCATTTATGGCGAGTGGAATTAGAAGACCGGCTCCACTTATCAAGACTGTACCTCGTTTCCGTTCGAGCTATCGTTGGTCAAGCTATCGCTGCGATGCACGGCCAACTTGACCGCTGAATTCGAAATATGCGTTTCTTTTTTCCATTGTTTAGTTTCGCATCGATTGAGAGATCATTTTAATTGAACAAAGGGTAAAGAATTAACGAAGAGGGTCGTTCGTTGATTGAATAATTATTCAGAGAAATTTTCAAGCGATCAAGATAGATAGAAAGTTGTTATTCAAATGTTTAATCTAGGTGATTATTATGCTCATCGATAGGATCAGGTCTCACTGAAGGTTCTTTTTTTTTAATCACCTGTAAACTTGAAACGTGATGCGCCAATATTTGTGTCATTTCAATAATTAAGGGGGTGTGGTTTTCAAAGAGGAAAGTTATGTGTGGTTCGATAACCTGTATTGTTCCGAGATGCGTTATGTGCCGGTACCCCCTCGTGTCGATAATACTTTAAATTGCGCCTTACTGACGGTGGAACATCATCTTACAGGGAGGCCAATGTAAACCCGAAGAAATGCTGATATCGTTTGCCATGTAACGTGTTAAAGGGGAAAAAATACGGGCCGATAAGGCACGTATTGAAAATTCCAAACCATACATCGTTGCATAACAATATCAAAGTATACATGATGGATATGGTACGTTGGCACAAATTGTAAATATATATGTAAATACATGGCAGTGATGATAATTATTATAATTATCTTATTGAGGATGTTGTCATCACCATTGGAGATAATCTGTCGTTCTATTCATACAAGCATACTCGATTTTCTTCTATACTGTATTTTTATTAATATTACTCTATATAAATTTATTTATCGTTTAAGATTGTGTACATTATCGAATGGAACTCCAATTCTATTTGAGTCACGACATGTACTTTAGAAAATGTTTGATGACCTCAAGCAAGACTGTTTTCATGGTTCAATAAAATAAAAAATTAACACCAACTTAACGTACAAATTAGTCAAAGTTACGTGGTTTCTGAAAATTTTGAATTCGCTTAAAATTAAGCTGCTCTGTGTCCAATTAATACGAAGATACTCCAGTTTATGCCGATAACCGAAGCAGATGTATCGCTTTATAAAACCCATCGAAGAGGCGCAAGAACTTTCAGCAGGATCCGATATTTACGATGAAAAATTCTTGCCCAGGGTGCATTTGCTGCAAGCTCGGATATTAACGTGGCAAGAGAGACGTCGGGCGGATAAGTGGGTGGCAAAGTGCTTTCGGAGTGCATCAATATCGGTCGATTGCGAGAAGTAATCGTCTTGACTTTCAAATGTTGCTAATATGCTCCCGCTGATGAATTCCTGACCTCTCGTAACCTCTCAACGTTAACTCTGCTTTCCAGGATACATTCGCCGCTCTCAGTGGGTTAAGACGCCAGGCACCATAAATATGGCGGTTGTTGTTGGATCCAAGCCCAACCCTCGAAAGCTTTCTTGTGCCGAGATACATGCTACACAGGATCGTCGATTTTCGCCGTTAGCCGGCCAGGGCAGACCGACGGAACGTTTGTTAGTCTGGAAAATAGTTGTACGGTGAATACATCCGTATAAAACGAGCATTTCGCCCTCGTTAATCCATTCTTCTCCTCGCTCGTTCCTCCCATTCCCGTGGCTTTGTACAGCGAATACGAGGCGAAATTTATCGCGATACGACGCTTGATCGTGCGCTGATGAATTTAACGTTTTCGCTTAACTGCCATAGGACAGCCCAGGCCTTAAAATTGTCTTAGAAAGATAGTTTAACCCTTCCTTTTCCAGGTGGCGACATGTTTAAAATAACTGAATGAAATATGAACATCATTTGTACGTATGCAAATATATTTGACTGTATCAGCTTTTCGTAATTTTATATCGATGGTAGCACTGAAAATTTTTTTTTATCGTCCAAAGAAGAGTTCTATTTCCAATACATTGGGGACCTCCAGTAAGCCCTGTCGGGGTCTCCGTTTAGATTTCAGGGAGGCTGTGGTCGACGATTACGCTTTCCTTCCCGTTTTGGCACGAGAACACCGGAACACGAAGAAAACGTAACTCGTATCGCGTCCAGAGGATCGCCAGTGGCTCCTCTACCATCGCCTATTTCCGATAATATCTTACACGGATTCTCGTAACAACTGTTAACCCCTTTAGCGTCGTTTTGTCAGCGCCCGTATATAGCACCGTTCGCTCGTTACGAGTATTTTCGGTCAGCGGGTTCGCCGTTGCTCCGGAAGGTCATCCTCGAGTACGATGACCCGATCGTTAACCCTCTTTCGACCGTCTGCTGTCACCGGGGTACAATATCCGAGGACGTCCTGAAATTCTGTATCTTCGCCCGCTGCGTTATCTTGCCGACGGGCGTAAAAAAAAAAAATTAAACGCGCCTCTACATTTTATTTAACGTCTCTATACTCCGAGATCGTTTGGGGAACGTGGGCTCTGGACGATTTGGCCGAGTCAACCAAACGACGTCGAAACGACCTGTGCGTCTACTGTTAAGTACGGAAGATTATAGAACAATGTGAGAAATAATTGTAATTATATATTAGTTTATTTGTAAGAGAATCTGAATGGAAGATGTAGCGTCAAGATCAAACAACATCCAAGATAATTTGATCATTTTATAGTAATAATGTACACAGATTAGCATCGACATTTTGATTTTGTATATACTCTTCTGGAATGTGTGATTGGAAAAATATTAAAAGTTGTATGGTTTTTTCTTTTTTTTTTTAATGACTGGTACGTTAGAAAGACTGAGAATAAATTTCTACACCTAATATATCGACATTTCCATATCTGTAAATCAAGAAAATATTCTCTTTGCACTCCGTCGATTGCAGTAAGTTGACTAATTACCTTGGCAAACCATGCATTTTAATTAAAATACAATCACACCCCGCCGGCTGAATATCAAATGAATATTAATTCTCCAATCACCGACAAAATTTAATCACGTCGCAAACTTGACATCGAAACCATTCGTCGGAATCAGCGGATTCGCAATTGCATTCAAGACGTCCTGTCGACGTGTCCTTTATTGTCTGATGAACCCGGACGATACACGGACAGAAAGAGATCGTTAACGCTGTACCAGCACCCGTGCATCGTCCTCGTCCCATAAATTCCAGCACCAAGGATGCAAGCGCCTGGCCGACGAGGGTCGTTCGAGGAATAACAGTTGACACGAATAGTTGCGACTATACGCGCTGCAGCCTTTGCCGTGGCATTATGCAACGTATGTTACGTCACTCTTACGGTGTTTCTTACGCTCGGAGCACGATCGTGAAAATCGTGAGCGGGCAAAGAAAACACGAACACACACACACACACACACACACACCGGCGCGGGTTGGATCGTTGCTGCTGCCGACGATCACGGCTCACCTTGGAGCCTATCGTGCTGAAATTTGCGTTGCCAAGCATTCGAGACGAAATTTAACTCGGGATAATTGCATCCTGAACGGATTCCACGAACACAATACGGCGGATTAATCATACATCTGTAAACATTCGTTCGATACGCGTGGGTGTGCTTTCTTTGCATTTTTTAGGTTGAAACGATGGATGAAATAGTTGAAGATGGAATCACCTTTGACAGGGTAACGACTATCGCTTAAAATACTTTCTTTTTTTCTAAACAATTTTGCATTAATACTTTGTTGGAAAAGAAGTAGTTCTCGGTAAAAAATTTTAAAAGTCCGTTTCTCCTATATTTTTGTAATAAATAATAAATTGTATTAAGGTTAGGATGAGAAGCGCCGACGCCGTAGGCTTCCAAGTTGCAGATAAGATAAATTATGGTCCTAGGAGTATAAGTTTCAAAAC